CTCCCGATAATATTTTACTAATGTAATAAAATGAAATTGCGTACCTTTTTATTCTTGGACCAAAATAATATTTACCGCTACATTTGAGACCGCTAGATATATCAACAATTGTTAGCCTCTCCCCGATTTTGATAGTAACGGGGGGCTAGACGGGTACCTTTTTAAATCCTTCAGTGCCTGGAGTCCACTTGAAATTGTTCTTCTTTTTCAAAAGTGAGAATAAGTGATGAAATATTTTCGAGGCTGGTCTGAGATGTCTTTGATGGCTTTGATATTATCGGTATTTACCTCTATCCCTCTTTGCGAGACCAAGAACCCCAAGAACTTACTAGAACCAACCCCGAATACGTATTTTTCTGGGTTAAGCTTCATGTTGTATTTTCTCATAATGTCAAAGGTCTCTTGGAGGTGCTTCAAATGATCTCCTTCATTCAAATACTTGACTAAAATTTGTTATGAAAGAAGTTTTTTCCTGATCTTCCAAGTTCATTTTGATTTGACTGTACCTGGAGTAAGCATCAAGGAAACTCATTAACCCGTGCCTGGCTGTAACATCAATCATTTGATCAATATTTGGCAATGGGAATGAGTCTTTAGGGCACGCCTTATTTAAATCCTTATAATCTACACACATTCTGAACTTGTTATTCTTCTTCGGAACTACAACTAAATTGGCTAACCATTCTAGATATTTTACCTCTTAGATCGAACCGATGTCGAGTAGTCGAGTTACCTCTTCTTTAACAAACATGTTTCTGACCTCGGCTATTGGACATTTCTTTTCCCTTAACTGTGAGAAGTTCAGATCTAGGCTTAACTTGTGCACGGCCACCTCTAATGGGATACATGTCATATTAGAGTGCGACCATGTAAAACAGTCGATGTTAGCTTTAAGGAAACTTATAAATCCTAACCTGAGCTCGGTATTTAACTCCGTTCCCAAATGGAACTTCCTTTCCAAAAATTGCTCGAACAAAGTCACCTGCTCGAGTTCTTCTACGGTTGACTTAGTTTTATCTGTTTTCTCCGGTACCTAAAGTATCTCGGAACCTAATAGGATTTCGATGACTCCTCACTCTTATCATCTTTATTCGGAGAGGGAGATGGCATCGGCTCCTGTAATTGCTATTTGTTGGTCTCATTTCCCTTGCTGCTAGAAACAGTTACCGCGTTCATCTTTCTTGCTGCCGATTGGTTTCCTATTATTTGTTTGATTCCTTCCTGGGTCGGGAATTTCAGTAGTTGATGATATACTGAGGGAACAGCCTTCATTTCGTGTATCCACGGCCTCCCAAGGATTACATTGTAGCCCGTGTCACCATCTACCACCTCTAATAAGGTGGTTTTTGTTACCCTGTCAGCATTCATGGGCAACATGATCTCACCTCGGGTTGTCATACTTGTCGTCGGTATGATGCTTCCTGTCAGTTATGCTTGCTCCAACACTATTAATTGGATGATGTTGGTTGAGCTTCCCGGGTCAACCAAAACACGTTTAATTTTGAAATCTAAAACATCAAGAGAGATTACCAGAGCGTCATTATGTGGATGAAGGAGTCCGTCGGCGTCTTCCTACGTGAAGGTGATATCATCTTCCGCGACTTCCCGGAGTCTCTTGCGGTGAGCCACCGATATCTTTATTTTGTTGGCCGCCGAGAAGGTTACACCGTTAATTTTATTCCCTCCAAAAATCATGTTGATAGTTAATCGATGAGAGTCTTTTGTCGCCTTTGAAGGCTCTGCATTGTCTCAGCTTCGGCCGTAGTTGTTTTTGGCTCGATCACTTAAAAATTCCCTGAGATGTCCATTCTTTAACACCTCTTCCCGAATATGCCGGTAGTCCCCAGTTCTATGGCCGTGAGTCCTATGATATTTGCACCACAAGTTGGGATCCCTCTAGCTAGGGATCAAATCTGATTGGCTTCAGGAATCATGATTTTTTTATATTCCTCATAGCTGATGCCAACTCCACTAAGATGATGTTGAAGTTATAGTCCGATAACCTGGGATATGTGAAGTCTACGGCCCCCGGTACCTCATTTTCTTGTAATGACATACTGTTCCGGCCACGATCGATTCTTCTATTGGGAACAAACCTGTTCGAGGACCGAAACCCTTTGCGGCTGAGTCCCTCAATTTTTTCATACGGCAAAAAATGACATTTATAAGACCGCCAATCTGCATCGAAGTCACTTTTAAACTTCTCTTGGTTTTTGTCTCGGTCCCGTCCCTTAGTTGATGTCGGGCGCTGGTCGTCTTCTATTCTTAATTTTGACTCTTAACGGTTATGGACATCCGCCCATGTGGTTTCCTGGAACTCGAGAAAGCTTTCCTTCAATTTTCGGGAGGCGTCGGAGCTTTGCAGATTCAACCCTTGTGAACGCCTCTGCTGTCCACTCATGTGGTATAACCAGTAGCAGCATCCTCTCTTTATGGAACCGGATCACGAATTCTCGCAATAATTCGGACTCACCTTGCGCAATCTTGAATATGTCTGGCTTCCTGGCTTGGACCTTCCTTGCCCCAGCATGGGCCTTGATTAATGAATCTGCAAGCATTTTGAAAGAGTCAATTGAATACTCGAGTAAGAGTGAATACTATGTCAGAGCCCCCTATGTGAGGGTTTCACCAAACTTTTTTTAGTAAGACCAATTTGAATTCATGTTGAGCCAAATCATTCCCTTTCACGGCCATGGTGTAGGTTATGATGTGCTCTTGTGGATTCGAAGTCCCATCGTATTTGGTATGTCCGGCATTTTGAACCTCTTCAGAATTAACTCTGGCACCGTGCTCGGCTTAAATGGCAATTGCGTGTATTTTTTTGAATCTTGGCCTTTCAAAACTGGTGGTGCGCTCGGAATCTGATCCATTCGGGCGTAAAACTCTTTTATATTTTGATCCATTCATTCATTCATTTCCCTCATAAACCTCATGAGCTCGGTTTTGAGGGGGTCATTCCCATTGTCATTCCCAAATCCGCTACCGGTCCCTCCGGCACCATCGAAACTGACTCCCAACTTGGGGTGTTATTATGGACTCTTTGAGCCATTTGATTCGTAGAAAAAATGGGAGGAACTGGGACCCTTCCGTTTGCATTATTAATAGCACATGGCAATACTTGTTTTAACTCCGTCATTACCCGGTCCTTCCTTGTGAGGTGACTCATGATTGCTTTCTGTTGTTCTCTTAAGATTTTCACTGTTTCCACGACATGCTCTTCCTCCGCGTCATCGGGAGTTGGCTCCCGCACATGTCGAGGGTACTGCCCTTCACGAACGGGGGTTTCTTCATCCCCTTCATTACGGGTGTCACTAATTAAGTCTTCATGTTGAGGCAGGTCTTCGTGTCCCTCAACGTTGTGCGTGATGTTGACATCATTAGCTGTCATTTCTGATTTCTTGCTAAGGAAAATCAAATAAGTTAGTAACAAATGCAAGGATCAAAGCAATTACTCTACTGTCTAAGCCTCATGGTGACCGCCAGACTATTTACCCGTAAAACGGTATAGTTAAATTTGTTACGTGGTTTATAGACAAGCGAACTGATATGATCCAAAAATAATAAAGGAATAAGATAAAGATAATACTTAGCAATAGAAATTGAAGAAGATGACAAGCCTAGCTCCGCGCGCAATGTCTCCCAGGATGAAAATAAAAGCAATATCAAAGAGCAAATAAAGTTATTCAGTTGAGAACGAAAGTAAAATGTAGTATGTGTTTCTCCAAGAATTTCACGTGTTACCATAGCTACTAAGCCTGCTATTTATAATTATACCTAGGGAAACAAGATCCTAAGATCAAGCCCCACTTAAATGATAATAAATGAGTCATTGATGAATATGTAACGGCAAGCCATATGAATATAAATATTCTCTATAACGGTTGCTCATTAATTTTAGAGAATATTCTCTAATTGAATGCTATATGATGGCAAATACTCGATCTGTTCTCGTTGATCATGCCCCCTTCGGAATTTACCCGATGTCAATTGCAGTTGTTGTTCCTGATACTGGATGTTACTTGACTCGCCATTTATCTCTTCGGTTCCACGTGTTATGCTATCATTCGACCATTTATTATAAACCAATTTTACCTCATATAATGTGTAATGATAATTGATCTTATAACCTTGACCCCTTTCAATTATTTCTAAAGAACGAACAAAAATTTTATGGACGTATGTCTACCCTCATAAAAAAGTTTGTTCAATTGTAAATAACAACAAAATTTGCTCAAATGTACTTCATATATTCACACAAAAAAATGAACATGAATGAAACTATGAAATGAAAGAGGATGACTCTATGACCATGTTAACTTGCATCATACCAAGACAAGGATTGAAGAACTCATTATTAATTTTTTCATCAAGCGTAACAATGTTCTATTATTTAACAGAGAAATATTATACATAATAATACCGTGAAATGCATCGATCCTACAATTGTAGCAATAACAACATATTTTGAAAAAAGTGGGGCATTGTTCGGGAGGATCAATTAGCAGAATATGTTGAACACTGAAAATATTGGAGGATCATAATTACAAAAGCTACTTCATATTAGGAATTAAGAGATTGCCCGAGTTCAGTTGTCGAAACACAATAGAAACAACACAACATAATAGCAATTACTACTTGAAAATTAAGAAGTCCAAGCATAATACTAATAGTTTATATACCTAAGAGTGAAATTATAATTTTGATAAAGTTTATTGGGTTATCGATTAAATCGTTAATAATATTGGTCAAACCGAGACCCCAACGGATAACCCAATAGTCAAATAATACTAAGTCGTTATCAAACATTTAGCCCAATAACCTGATACCGATAACCAATAAGCTTTTCTCGATTCACGCTATCAGTTTACCCGATATATGTGGAACCTAGTTGAAGAGGCCAATTTGCACAAACGGGTGTATTAAACATAGCTCATTTACTACACTCATCTTATACTAAAAAGATGAAGGGGAAAAAGAAAAGAAACCATCCATTCACTCGATGGCCAAAAGAAAAAGAAAATCCATTCATTCAAACATGATCAGACAGCCCATTCTTGCGCATACAATAAATACGCTTTCCTTGCCACTATGTCCAGTATTGCGAGCCGCCCAAATTTGTTTGCTGGCATTAGCTTCATGGATCGTTATCACCATTGCTGCACCGCAATTCTTGGCACTCCTCAAGGGAAAATCCTTGATTGAGCCGGAAGTCTAGTTTCTTTCAAGTGGAAAAGACTTCAAAGTGACGATTTAATCGTTACAATTTGATTAATGTATCATCTTCTGAGACCATCATAAGCCGGGATAAAATGCATCACTGATAGTATGTTTTAACAGGACCATCTGGCGATTTAAGGTGGGTTGTTTCAAAAATTGAAGAAGAGATTTTGCAAAACTGTTAAGATCCAAACATCAAGTTTTATTTTTTATTTTTTATTTTTTACAAAAACTAAAAGCTACACTCAAAACTAACTCTTTTGTTTTTGTAAAAAAATAAAAAATAAAAAAATCTCTCCTGGTTGTTGGCATAGAAATTTTTCTTGCAAAAAATTATTATAAAAATAATTTTCAAAATACTCTTCTTCAAAACCACAACATTATCTCCTTTCCCTGTTCTTCCTCTGTCCTCGCGCTGCAGGCTGTGCTTTTTAGGGAGTGGATTTGCCCCAAATGGCGATTGCCGATCAACAAAGCCATCAAATTTGACCACTCACAGTAGATCCACTACTCACCATTTGCTTCCGATGAAAACCGTCAATTCTGCCGTTATAGTCATCGCCGCCGCTATCTTCATCGTCAACGTCTTTGGCGTCATCTTCATCAGACGATAAAGGCACAAGCCAACAATTTCCATGTAAATGCCCATTCACACACACAAAATACTCCAATCCATTTTCCAGCGTACCAAGCCGTCGCGCCGCGCTCTTAGGGACGAGCCGAGCCGCCGTCATGCTCCAAACTCGGGCCCCACAGAACGGACACCTCACTCCTTCTTCAAGCTCTACTTGTTTACTAATCAAACACGCCCTCGTCTTCGACTTCATGAATCCCCCAAATACCCCTCTGAAAATCCCCAAATAATCATCCTTACCCCTAATTTTATGCTCACATGAGGGATCGCTCACATACAGCAGATCCGTTCTGCATCTCTTCACCAAAAAGCTCCGACCCGACGTCTTCGAAAACCGGGACGATTCCACGAAATGACCCGGAGATGCCCCACCCGTTTGGAAATGCCGGGTCGAATTGCACCCGCAGCAGAAAAACAGCAACTTCGCCATAGCGTCCCATCCAACTCCGATCCGACCATTCGGCGCACCATCCATTAACGATGCTATCATGCGCGGAGCGCGATATACACACAGCTCCTTCCATAAGAGTCTTTTTGCGAGCGCACGGAGCTTCTGATTAACCGACGCCGTTTGACACAGAGCATGAATATCCCAATTCATGGAGGCAAAAACCGCACGGAGAATTATCTCATTGTGAATTGCCGAGTCATCGACTGACTCAGTCAATGACTCGCCAGCTCCGTGCGGATTTAGCCTCCGTCTTTGACTCTGATTTTGACTCATTTTTCTCTTCCGACGAGAATGTACGTAGTCGGATTCTTTGCCTTCAAAAACTTGTTTTTCGCGCCTATATAGATCGTAACATCTATAAACACATGGTCGGACACGTGTAGCACTAGGAGTAGATAATTAACTGTCACATGATGCTCTATAAAAATAAATTGGGTACGTGGGTTGCTCTCATTGGTGGACAATGAAAATGGGGATTGATTTGATGTGTTACAGAATCTAGGACAACGTATGCGTTTGTAAGAATATGCCGATCTCTCGACACGTGTCCTTTATAAAAGTATCTTTTTTTCGTTGCTCGAAAAATCTTAGCAAGTACGTGGCAGGATGATCATTAGTGCCTGAAACGCTGATATATCTGAGGTTTATTTTTTCTGTTCTTGGTGCTCTTAACAAAAGATTTGGTCACAGGTGTGTTTAATCTAAGACGTACGCGTATATAATTTGATTTTATTAATGTTGAATTGATTATGGTTCAAAATTGGCATGTCTGTTTGTTTATTCGTGGACACATGGTCTCGTCGAGGAAGAAAGAATTATGGCTTAGTTAGCTGCACAGACCACAGTACTGTCCAATTTGATTATAGTATATGCATTTTGTTGTCTTAGTGTACTTACCATGTAGACGAAGTCATCTTTTGCTCTTTTATCTTCGCATTTTCTTAGATCAGTTCTTTGTTCGTTCCTTATCCTATATAATATTAGTCAGAAGATGACAAACTGAATTCGAAGTTCAAAGTCCAAATAGGTTATTGAAATTCCAACTCATAAACTACCGTTTGAATTAATAGCGATAACAGTTGTTTTTCTTGAATCACGTCCTGTAAATAGACATGCTCTATTTGTTTAATGTTTCTATCCATCGTGCGGGATTCAATCCTCATCGTTCATCCATCAACGATGAATAGACCGTTCGTTTTGGAGACGCAGAATAAACTTAGAAAAATTTATTTTGCAAGTTATCTCATTGGATATATGCCACCTTTTGCTTCCTCATTATGTGTGCGGAATTGTTTTTTCCGAGAATTATTCCTTCCTCCGTTCACTTTTACTTAGCGCATTTTGACTTTTCACGTCCCTTAAAAAAAAATGCATAATTTACAATGATACCCATATTAATTAATGTATATTTTATTGGATTTGAGAAAATGATTAGAAATGAGTAATAAATACTATGGGTATAACATGAAAAAAGAATTTGTCTTCTCTTAATATGCATAAAGTGACAAGTAAAAATGAAAATCTATTTTTATTATACTTGCCAAATAAAAGTGAACGGATGGAGTATTTACTTTGTTAAAACATTAAGAGGAGATAATTCAAATTTAGAAGTTGGTGAGGCATCAGTACTTTAATGGCTAATGAAAATCTAATGAGGTTATCCTTGCTGGGAAAAATAATATTCCGCCCATGAATAATATCCACGATAAATAATAGTAACACAGGAGAGTAACAACAATACCAATTCTTTTAACGGGATAAAATACAATACACCAACGGAGCAATATAATACCACTAAAATATTACAACTTGGTAGTATCAAAAGACTACTATAACTTTGAAAAAAATAACATTCTTTATTTTAAATATCTCACTATAATATTACTCTCACTCACTATTTATCTCACAGACTACAATCTGTGAATTACTCTCTCTAACTCTGTGTTGTTTCTCTCGATTTGGTGTGTCAGAGAGAAATAAGCTCCTATTTATAGGAGAACTTGCCAACATTTGAACCAAACAGAATGGTTCATTCCATTGCATTTTGCTTTGCAAGTTGCCATCCAAAACGGTTTTGTAACTTGTTGTAAGACCAAGTTGTGAGCCTACTATTGTCACCCATTTCATCCAATCATTTTTATTCTTTTTATTTTAATTGGAATTGGTCCCACAAATCTCTCCCTTAATTTTAATTTTTCTTTTTCATTTCAAGTCTTAATCTCAACCTCTGAAAATCTTCAAACTTGAGAGGCTTGGTAAAAATATCCGCAACTTGATCATGAGATTTCACATAGTTGATCTCGACTTCCTTCTTGGCAATGCATTCTCTGATGAAGTAATACTTTGTATCAATATGATATGCTTCGATTATGATACACTGGATTCTTCGCGAGTGCATGTGCGGATTTGTTGTCAATACAAATCTCTATAGCTTCAATTTGTGATAAATTGAGCTCCTTCAACAATCTTCTCACCCAAATAGCATGACATGTACATGATGTTGCTGTTATATATTCAGCTTCACAAGTCGAGAGAGTAACAATTGATTGTTTCTTTGAACTCAAAGAAATAACAGAATGACTCAAGAATAATACAAAACCAGTTGTACTTTTTCTATTATTAATATCTCTCGCATAATCACTATCACAAAAAACTCACAAGGTTGAAATCACTAGAAGAAGAATAAAATAGCCCAAAGTCAATCGTACCTTTTAGATAACGGAGAATTCTTCTAGTGACCTTCAAGTGAGTGGAGGTAGGAGCTTCCATGAAGCGACTTACTACTCCAACTGCAAAGAGTATATCTGGCCTGGTACAAGTCAAGTACCTCAAACTTCCCCAAGACTTTTGAAAAATATGGGATCCATTTTTTCTCCTTCATCAAACTTGGACAATTTTGTCTCACTCTTCATCAGTGTGTTCACGAGGTTGCAATCGAGCATGTTGAACTTCTTCAATATCTATTTTATATAGGTTTCTTGAGAGATAAAAATTACATCCTCCATCTTCTTCACTTCTAAGCCCAAGTAGTATGACATGAGTCCTACGTTCGTCATCCCGAACTCACAGGACATATCTTTCTTAAAAGCTTCAAACAAACTTGGGTTATTACTCGTAAAAATAAGATCATCAACATAAAGACAAATAAGCAAGATATCTCCATTAGTATGAACTTTAAGGTAAAGAGCATATTCATTAAGACAACGAGTAAACTCATTGTCTTGAAAATACTTGTCGATGTAACTATTCCATGCTCGTGGGGCTTGTTTTAATCCATATAAAGCTTCCTTCAACCGCAACACTTTATCTTCGTAATTTTTTACCACAAAGCCCAATAGTTGTTCAACATATACTTCTTCAAGATAGCCATTCAAAAAGGCTGACATGACGTCTAATTGATGGATTTTCTACTTCATTTGCGCCTCCAAAGAGATCAGGAAATGAATAGTCTCCATGCGTGCAACGAGCATAGACTTCTTCATAGTCAATACCTTGCCTTTGCTTGTAACCTTTAGCCACAAGTCGTGCCTTGTATCTCTCCACATCTCTATCAACATTCTTCTTTGTCTTGTATACCCATTTAACTCCAATTGCTCGATGACCCTTGGGAAGTGTTGTTAACTCCCAAGTGTTGTTCTTATCTATTGACTCGATCTCCTCCTGCATGGCTTGTCTCCACCTTTTGCCTGTAACAGCTTCATCAAAGTTCATTGGTTCACTATCAGCAAAGAGGCAATATAAAAAATCAAAATTAGTAATTTCTTTTATGTCATCATAGAGCTCTTGAATACTCCTCGTCCTTTGCGGTTGTTCATTTGAACTTTGTTGAGAAGAAGGAGATGCAACATTAGTTGGTGAAGAAGGTGGATGTCACAACCTCAAATTCCCTCTGTAGGATGTCGTGATGACACCTAGTCTCTAAGACTGGGTAAGCTTATCAATGTGGAATAACGGAATATAAATTAAAATTTAATCCTCAACAATCGAATAAATAAGAACTGCAAATTTTATAATTTCAACTCCCAAAACCCAGTAGGAATAAGTCACAAGCTTCTAAGAATTTATTCTCAATGTCTCTATACATTAGAGTCTAAAGGAAATAAGGAAGATAACATAATAAGATAGAAGGGGACTCCGGAGTCTGCGGACGCTGACAGATATACCTCGAAGTCTCCTCGTACGGATAATTCACTAATGCCTGGTCTGATAAGATGTACCTGGATCTGCACAAAAAGATGTGCAGAAGCGTAGTATGAGTACACCACAACGGTACCCAGTAAGTGTCAAGTCTAACCTCGGTAGAGTAGTGACGAGGTCATGTCAGGCCCTACTGGAATAATAAAAAACATAGAGAAAAGTTTAACAATATAATAATAATAATAATAATAATAATAATAATAATAATAATAATAATAATAATAATAATAATAATAATAATAATAATAATAACAACAACAATAACAATAATAACAATAACAATAACAATAATAATAATAACAATAATAACAATAATAATAATAACAATAATAACAATAACAATAATAATAATAATAATAACAATAATAACAATAATAATAATAACAATAATAATAATAATAATAATAACAATAATAATAATAAGAATAATAACAACAATAATAACAATAACAATAATAACAATAATAACAATAACAATAATAACAATAATAATAACAATAATAATAACAATAATAATAACAATAATAATAACAATAATAATAATAATAACAATAATAACAATAATAATAATAATAACAACAACAACAACAACAACAACAATAATAATAATAATAATAATAATAATAATAATAATAATAATAATAATAATAATAAATCAAGTAAGTAGTATGTCACATTTTAACTACACAGAATAAGGGCAATTAACACCTCGCGGAAGGAAAATAGAAATTTACAACTTTAAGAAAAATACCAAAAATAACCAAAGGCAATGCAGCCATAAAGAAATATCAACAAGGGCATTCCTAAGGTACTGCCTCGTAGTTCCAAATCATAAATAAATTCACAATATCTCATTTCCTTATAAGGCAATGCAACCATAAAGAAATATCAACAAGGGCACTCCCGAGATACCGCCTCGTAGTCCCAAATCATAAATAAATTCAAAATATCTCATTTTCTTATATCACCGCGGGAGCCTTCACATTAAATTTTAAAGAAAATATTTTTTCCCTAAATAGCATCCCGCGTTTTAGCCACCCTTATCACACCGCCGCATGACTTTTAGTAGTTCCCCTACTAGCCACGCGTATCAAGCCACCCTTATCTCACCGCATGCGTTTCAACACCCAGACCTTATACCACTGCATGTGTATCAACATCACAATATATCACAATTTGCACCTCAAGTGCCCAAATATCTCAACTTACCAAAATAAATCAATATCAACAATATTTTTTCACAATAAAGAGCTCACGGCTCATGACAAAATAAATCAACAACAATATTTTTTTTCCA